CGACTGGTTTTCGTACCGCTTTACTCTCTACACAAAATTCGCCAATTACTAAAATTATGCATTTCATATTGTATATTCAGTTTATATATATGTATTAATAACTATTGCTCAGTTAAGTGTGTTTGCGTGCTCAGCAAAAATGTGCCAGCCATGAATGAGTTTTGACAATGCACCAGCTTCCGCCATCCAATCACTTCATCTCTCGCTGCGTTTCCTCCTCCGTTCTTTTCCTATTTCTTTTTGCTCGCTCAACACGACGATATCACAACAAAATGTACCAAGTAGAAGAATTAGTTATCATTATCATTATCAGTTATTGTAAACGATCGGCTAGCTAAACCTAGGCCGCTTCACGTGAACGGCGGCGGCATCACCATCGGATCGAAGGTCTGCTGGGTGCTGGAGAAGTTGTTGAAGTTCTCGATGCGACGGTAGCCCCACAGGTCCATGGCATCGACACAGACATCCTGGATTTGTTTAATCTGAACAGGGTGATGCAAAATATTAATAAGCTTTATTATCAATCATAAATCTTGGCCAAAAACCTTACCTCTTCCGGTTTTAGATCCTGCATCCAATGGAACGGCGCTGATCTGGAATCGCGATATGTGGAACTGACACCGCCAATGTTCACCTTGGTGTGCGTGTCCAAGAACTCCTCCACGGCCGGATCAAATGGCAGGCCATAGAACTGCAAAATATCCTGGGTCATCTCACTTGGGCTCAGGGATAAGTCCTCATAGCGAACAGTCCTGAAAGACAAAACATTTCGTTAAATTTAGGCACCTATCTTTTGCATAGCAAGACTCACCTAAATCGAGATGGATATTTCTGCAGCAGGAGCTCTGCTGTTTTGTAGTCATCCTTCAGATCCTGGCACACCAGACGGGGATCCTCGCAGTCCTCGTTGCCACCGCACCACACCCGGTGTCGCCTCGACTGCATTGTGCCCCGCGGATCGCGCACCAGAAGCACGATTCGAACGCTGGAGAGACTGCGGGTGGGGGGAATACTTGTTAGAATACTCATCATGATAATCATATATATACGCGATGAATGATATATAATTGCTGGCGTAATAGTTGAGCACCCAGCCGTGAAGTTCACTTTGCCATGACAATGAACGGGAGGCAGCCCGCGGGGAATTGGCTTTCAATTAAATCGGATTAAAACTTCTATAATGAAGCATAATTAGCATTTTTATGGGGCTCAGCACGAGTTTCTAGTTTCTGGGTTCTAGCTAACTCCAATCCCAACTCATCGACCAACTGAAAATTGGTTTTAATTACAACACTCAAATGTATCTCCGTACCAGCTGCCCCCTTCGCTCAAATAGCATTGCAACTGCTAATTTATTTCATGAAAATGTTTTGCCTAAGCGGAAACAACAAAACGTTGATAAGCGGCAACGACGAAAACAGTTTTTGGTGGTTTGAAATGGTAATGGGGTCGCAATGTGGCAATGGTGGCAAACTGCGGGGAAGCTTGATTCGCTTAAAGGGGAAGCAAGGATAAAATCGCTGTGCAGATGTCGCGTTTAGTGAAAATTATATTTTTTAATTATATAATATTCTACTAACTATAATCTAATTAAATGTAATCTTCTCCTAATTTTAGCTAGCTCTAATGGGATTTGCATTTGCCATCTGGTTTCATAAGTCAACGCAAACAAACTCATATGATTCTTACTGCTCAGCGGCTCAGATCTGTTGGCATAGAAATGCATCATCATCAGAGACAAAGCCACATGCAGTGGCACCACACACCCACTTAACCACAATGCTAATGAGTTTGTGGCGAATTGAAACATTGTAAACATCTATTTATTTTTGCCTTTGTGTGGAGGTTGTGACAAACGTACATACAGCCTGTTTATATGTTTGAAACTCACTAGCGATAAACTGTGAAATATTTTTAAAGCTCTTTTCCAATCTGAAATATTTATGGGAGTAATATTCTCAGTTCAGAGGAACAAATTGAATATTTCAGTATAAGCGGAAAGCTATTCGTTGGTTTGCCAGAAATCATGCAAATTGACAACAGCTGCCCTGCTGATGATTTTTGTAAAGGGTGCAGAGCAGCGAGGAATAATAACAAAAGCAATAACAAAAAATCGCTTTGGCAGAGCCCCACTGTCACACTCCTATCCATAGACGGGGCTTTACTGTGGGTAGGCGGTGGCCGCCACAGCAACAGCTGCAAAAATTCTGAAAACTTTTCCAAAAGTCGAAAACCGAAAAAAGAAAAGCGAAATTCGATGAAAAAAATGTTGAATATAAAAATTCCGCGACATTAATTTTATACCAAGAACCCAAGAAGTGCAAGGAAATTTGTTGGAGAGGGAAAACCCATTTGAATGCTGCCAAATTGTTTGAAAATAAAGGGATTCAAAGCCATAACACTATCAAACCCAATTAAGTGACAAGTTGACCAAGTATTTTCAAAGCTAAATATTTGCAAAAAAGGAAACAAAAAAACGTACTTTTAAGACTAAATTTCGTTTTATATTTTTTAAGGAATTAAAAATTATTTTAACTTTTGCAAGACCTGGAAAAATGTAAAAGGTAGATTAAACAAAACATGAACTTGTTTGTAACGTGGACGAAAAAAACTGCTGGTGGCCAAGTTTTTATGGTTTTCATGGAATCGATAGATGTTGACCCCTTGAATATTTATAAAATAACAGTTCACAACTTTTTGCATTTAAATTTCTTTTTGTTAGGTTGAATAATGTGTGATGAAGGGCCATCATGTATGGAGCAAAAATAAAAAGCAAAACTATTGAAGGCCGGCATGAATTTCACTTTCGGTTTAGCTGAGTAATTTAAGATGTTTTCTTTTCATTTGTGTTTTGTAATTGTGCGAAAAAGAGGCACTTGTGGCTAAAAATATGCATAGTTTTTGCATAAGCACTAAAAAATGTTGGCCGAAATGGCCTGTCGAAGAATTCTCAAGTGGGCTTTGAGCAATTTCTGGCATTGGAAGCATTTAAGCATTTGCCTTGCGTAAACCTAAATCGGCAACATTTGAATAAAAAAGTAATTTTGCTTTAAAGTATTTTGAAATAATCTTTGATGTGTCGGGCAGCTGTTAATTGGTTGTTAACTATGTCGACTCTAGGGACATTGTGCGTTTTTGGTTATTTAAGCAGTTGCCGGCCATAACTCAAGTTGGCTTTTAATTTAATTTTAATGGCCGCATGGCAGTGCAATGAATGGCGGGCATTAAGTGCTTGTTAAATGCATTTAGCCCTGAAAAATTGTTCATGGAACACATAAAGTAATTGGAAAAACAGCATTGCGGACATGTCGAGTTGGAGCGGCAGAAGCTACTAGCTACTGCGACTCGTCGCCACTTTGACCCACTGGCAGTGGCTTTTGGCAGCTCATTGGCCCCAACGGCAGAAATAAAAAACCATTCTGAGCATCTCCTCTGCTTCTGACTCACTGAAAGGCCTTTTGTATTTACACTTTTGCGTTTTGTGCGGCATTCTGACACAGTTCCGAAGATCAAAAGCCGAAAATTTGCACAGAATATAGACAAAGTGATTTGAGAGAATCGCAATCAATAGCCGGAGACACCGATAGAAATGGTCTGGTGTTCTAGTATGTGGCACACATGGCGAATGGACGGGTTCACAGTTAGCCGGTTCGGGGAGCTGACTGCGCTCTTTTGTTGACCGATTCGGGGTCAAACTTGGAAGAGGCTAGCCCCAAACGATTAATCAATATAATGGGCCTCCGTCTCTGGCCAGAGTATATAGCCGATTCGATTCCACTGACCCCCAAACCAATAGCCAACTATTTACATAACTTTTCCGGGCAGAGGCGAGCAAAAGTAAAAGTTGCTCACGTGTTGCTCGAGGCCTTGAACCCCAGCTGAACTTTTGCGAGCCGACTTGCATCATTAGTTAGCAGGCAGCAGCGCAGATTTCTGAGAAGCATGCTCGGGCATACCCAGGCCGAAAAGCTCCCCAGCGGCTGACCCACTAAACGGTTTACCCACAGCTCTGGCGGAGATTACTTGGCATGACCGGGTATCATTCAGCTGAGGTATCTCGGCGGTTGGGTTCTCATGCGTGTGCAGATGTCCCATCGCATAGACTCATGCGCGCACCAAGTACTGGGTAATTATTTTTAGAGGTTCGCGGCTTAGGCCTGACATAAGCCGATAATGTTGATTAATGGCAACTGGGAAAGTCAGGCGCTGGGAGCGCGGAAAATTGGAAATGGCTTTCCACTGCGCTGGGCAAAGAGTTCTCCTGGTGATCAAGACCAAACGATCCCCAAGCGATTATGATTTCATCCGTTTAAAAGATGTATTTTTAACAAGTACAAGCACCTTTCGCCTGTAGTACATAAATTGTGCAGTTTTTGCAATCAATTAGTGCAATTTCGCAGTTTTTGCTCCTGTTTTCTCGTGGGAGTTATTTTTACGAGGAAACGTTTTTTCTTTTTTGAAAATTTGTTTTCATATGTGCTTGCCATGGCGGCACAGTGAGCTGAATTTTTCGCCCTGGCCACTTTTGCAAAGCTGAAAAAATTATTACGCATACGCTCCGGTGGCCAAAGACTTGTAAATATATGCTCGTATGTACGTGTATATGTATGTGTATGTGTAAGCGCGCGTGTATTTCGTGTTTATTTATAAAAGTATGCATAATTGTCGCGTGCGGGTTAAAAACAACCGAGAGAAGAAAAGCAAAAAAAAGGAAGAGCCCAAAAATAAAAGCGAGATTTACTACGGAAGAATATTTAAATAAATTCACAACAATGAAAGGCGAGCACGAAAATGTATTCTGCTCCCAGGGATAAATGAAAATTGCCCATATATTAAATTAACCATTTGACAAGCTGCTAGCAAAAGGGCAAAAGCATGGAAGCGGAAAAGGCATTTATTAAAAATTCAACAAGAATCTGCCTGTAACTTGATTATACTTATAATCAAAGCCCCGCCATAATCCCAGAAAAAAGAAGCCCTACAACATCGGACTAAGCCACATAAATCCCCCGATACTCGACATTAATACCACGAGCACCGTCGAAAAATATAGTGAAATATAGAACGGCGACAGCCAAAATAGCGGAAGCAACAACAGGCAAAACAAAAATAGCTTTACAGAGAATGACGTTTTTGGGAAAAACCCAAATAGAAAAGTGGAGTAAAAGAAATTTATCGATTTAACAATTGCAGGCACGAAAACGCGGGGAGCAGAACTTCCACCCATTTTCACCCAGTCCAGTCGTACTTGGCCCATATATCAAAGCCAGAAAGTAACTTTAGTTAGTGCCCGGTCGAAAATATGCACAAATACTGCCCCCGGTTCCGCCCAATTCTAGCGATTCTTGTGCTGCAAACGAGAACACAAGCGCAAAATTCGGAAAACATGCAAAGCGCTGAAAACGACGACTCCGTGCAGAGGAAACTCGGAAAATGCGTTGCTAAAATTATTCCGCTGAAATTATTCCGGGGAAAACAAGAAAGCCAACTGAACGGATTTTAGAATGAAAGTGCATGGCTTTTCACCCCCAGTTTTAGATTGTAATAATTTTAATTACATGTGACATGCGAGAGGGTAAACAACTTCCTAACTGGCAATTAGGGCACTTTGAGGCTACTTTGCCTCGAAATTGCAATATTTTAATGTTCATCTGGTGAAATCTAGCACGGATGAAAAAGGGTTTTGATCTGTTTTTCGAAGAGTGAAACGTTGTACGATATATGCTTTCATTGCTTCATTGCAATAAAAACCATTTCAGAAAGAACAATATTTTTTGGGAGGGCAAACATTAATACTAACTACATATAATGATAATCTAGCATTTCCAAAACAAAGAAAACTTTAAGCCCTAAAGATCGATTTTAACGATTTATTTCCCTCCATAAATTAATTGATTGCTTGGTAAATGTCACAAAGAGGTATTGTGCCTTCATTAGCCATTAGCTTCCGATTCCTTTGCTGCGATAATAACATTTCCATCAATGCTCTGTCATTACGAACAATGAAACCATTAAGACACAGAAACAAGGCCTTGAACTTGACACCAGCTAAAGTACCCCAATAATACACCGCAAATTGTAATCCTCGTCGCTCCAATTCAGACCTCGAAACAAAGTTGCCAACGGTTGAAAGCTATCTCCCTTCACCCGCGAAATTGCGTGACTAACGAGTCGAATCAAGCGAATCCTTAGGATAATGCGCTGTGCGATCCGCAACTGGGTCAAAACCCAAAGGAGAACCGACAGAGTCCGATCAATTTTCAATGGCAGTAGCACTGCTAAAAAAAACCCACCGACGGACCACCCAAAATGCGAAATGAAATCATGGTGGAGCACTAGAAAAAAGTACCAGGAAAAAGGCAGAAATTGCTCCGGCAAATGCAAACAACAGCAAATGTCAATCAAAGTCAACTGGGATGCGGCCAACTCGAGTGGCAAAAGAGAAAGGCTCACAGTTTCGCTTGGCGGCAAAGAAGCAGGGTTGTGAGTTTTCAGTTGGGAGGTTTGGAAGTTTGGAGAAAGAGAATCGCATTAGATGGGGCCGAGTGGGTGGCTGGAGGCGTTACAGGGGAGCATTTGAGCAAAAACTATCTGCACTTCCCATTGCTGTATTTTTTTTTATTGCGAATCCCTCCCCTTTGGAACTCACAGAGTTGAAGGAGTCGAGGTGCAAAAGCCTCTTGGAAGCTCCATTAATAACAAACTAAGGGACGGCTCTAATGGATATGCCATGGATATGTGCACGTTCGTTCCTAACCTATCCACCTATATGACAGGAAATTGTCTGAAGGTCTCGGCAAACAAGCCGCCAGCACAATGGAAAAAGAAAAATATACAGCAGGCCTAAAGCACAGTGTCTCAAAATGAAGTTACAGTAGTAGGAAAAATGGAGTGCAAAGAATAAGAAATTTATGCATATATTAAGCTGACTTGAATTAAACTATCAACCACTTTTAAGTAAACCTTAAAAACTAAATAAATTATTATCGATAACATTTGTGTAGTTAAAATTAAAAAAAAAAAGATTTGAAAACCTAACTAGATTGCTCTTGATCAAGCTTTTATTTTTCTTATTTTTCTTAAAAAAGAAGCTGATCCCATTTTAGTTCATATTCCATTCAATATTGAATTTTTTTGTTTTAATATTTTATATCTAAAATTAATTTTGTTATTTAATTTATTTATTTGAAACTAGCCATCTTCCTTTATCGTGTTCCTTAAATGGATTAATGCAAATATTAGAATAATTTATAGAATTCAATCTGAGGTCTCCATTCCTGAATTCCTGTAAACGGTTAGTAAAACCTCCTTTCATTATTTTACACCTCTTCTAAGATTGGCTTTTAAGAACCTTTCGTACACTGTGCAGATGCCTAACCTCAAGCTCCGATTGTGGGGTTTTGTTTTTGAGCTGCCTAAAGTATGAAATTTATTGGGTTCGTGCATTTGACATGAAGCCTTAGGGCGATGCTTTTGATAGGCCACCGCAGAAACCCAGAGAAACACAGAACCCATGTGTGCTGACGATGATGGCGGTGACGAAGGCAGTTGATGGGGGAAAGGACAAATGCCAGGCAGTTTGTTTGATATGTTTAATGACAATGGCCGGCCAAAATTAGAAAGGATATACAGCTTTAACAACCTTTTCCTATCTGCATGGATCGGCTCGTAACTCGTGTCCGCTTAGCCGATTATCGAACTAATTGTGCCGCACAGCTACTATCCCTTACAAATTCCAAATGCATACACAAAGTCCGGCAAAGTGATTTCGACCACCCTTGCACTTGATTGACTCCTGATCTAATTGAATTTCGCACGTCTGGGAACTGCTCCCTGGACAAAGTGGAATCAATGGGCGACGCTCAGATCTTGATTGGAATTTATGTGAGTCACTCGAAACTTTTAATTAAAATGGGGGGCAAGGACACCGAGGCTGCTGGTGGAAGCTTAAGGGAAGTGAAGTGAAGTGAAATGATTTATGCATGGCGAACAGAGAAAGGAGTCGGCAACTGCACGGCCTTTAACTTTTGCAAGGACAAAGGTGTTTGGACTGCATTTATCTCTGGACTCTCTCAATTAATTCAGGTGCTTTAATTAACTGGGTGGAAATAGTTCGAATTGAATTGAAAATTCACTGTCTCTCCCATGAACACTTCTGTAATTAAGCTGGAACACAGTTTCCTAACAAGAACATAACTTCCTCTTGGAGCAAAAACAAATGGAAAATGTACAAGAACTTCACGCTCAATAACAATTCCTAAGTTAGATATTTTGAAAAACAGATAGTTGGGTTTACTTTACAGCTTGTTTGTGTAGCTTCTTGCAAACAACTTGTGTAAAATGCAACCTACATACAAGGAAACTCCAGTTTCAATTAACTAGAAACCGCTCCCTCCATCTGCTTATTGATTTCTTCTAAGTTCTTTGCAGTCTCCTTGGCAACTTCCTCTGCCCCAGTGAGAAATGCACTCACCCAGCGGCACTTGCGCCCTCGCTTTCCAGCGAAAACAGTGTAGAACGGTTGAATAATATGAATGGACCGAAGCTATGTAGCTTCCCCTCGAACACCCTGCCCCAAGATCCATTGACTTTGCGCTGCCTCTTAACGACGTCATCTGAAGTGAACGCTGTGGCGCGTTGAATGCCGAGCGTTGAGCTACTTAATGACTTATCGCCATCATTATGCCTCGCTGCCTGTGCGATTCAAAGTGACTTTTGGGCTGCAGCTCAGAAAGCGTAAAGTGAAAGAAGCTCGAGGGGGAGCGGGATGCCAGTTGCCAAGCTGCCATGTTGCCGGGTTACTAAGCCCACCGACTCATATTCGAAGATGATTCCGCCGAAAGAAAGAAAGAGTTCGCAGTGGGCTACAGTCGAGAACTACACGTCACCCACATAAATTCAACTTGCAAGACCTTCCTTTCACTTTGCCTGCGGCCCGAATGAATGATATTATATTAAGTTTAAGCAGCGGAGTACTCAAAAAGAAGGGGCAGTGTCGTGAAAGGAGTCGAAGCTTCAATGCACCAACAGGCTTGAGTGTAGTCTTAATACTCCCTTATTTTTTCTATGGCTTGAGGCTTAATAAAAATAATATTTAAGACTAGATATGCCAAAGAAGCTTACGCAGAGAACAGTATTTTAAAAGTCATTCGGGTGAAGGTTAAATAAGGTATATTTTAGTTCTTCAATAATATTTATTTATTTTGTTACTCTTTGCCTCTTCGATTTCGAAATTCATTTCTGCAACTTTCGTTTTTGGTTTGCCTTTCATTCTTTAATATCCCAATAAAAAGAAATGCATAAATCAATAAAAGATATCAAAAGTACATCCAATTAAATATTATATTTAAAGCATCATTAATCCCGTTTAAAGTAAAAGTGTGTATATGGAGCTCAAGCCATTAACCCCTTGAGGTTTCTTTGTGCAGATTCAGCGGACAAGTTTGGGTCACCTGGCAGACAACAAAGAGCTCAGTGCGAACGGATATATCACACGATCCGACCTAGCACAAGGGAATTCATTCCAGTGACAACCTCCACATGGACCTGCGCCGAACCCAAGCAGTTTTTTCAGCTGGACTGCAATTGCCGCCCCTTCCGATTGTCATGGAAATGGACGCTTTTTTCCTCTCATGGCTCTTAAATAAATGGCTCCACTTTCGACCAGGAAGTGGCGGTGCTCGCGAGGGGCGTGGCCTTTTGAGGGCGTTGACGCTCCCAACGTTTTGACACTTCATTTCATTTCAGTTAAAATTCTTGCCCCCAATCCCCTTCTACTTTTCGCCAGTGAACGTGTGTGGGCTTGGGTGATTGCCCGACTCGACACGCCCCCATTTAGCTATAGTGTCCTCTGATTTATTAATGAACTTTACGTGTAGATTGCAGAACTGTTTTGCTCTTCTTTTTGTCCGGCACTCGAGACTGCATAACAAATGGAAATGTATCTCGCAGATAAGAGATATCTTCTAAAGCAAAGCGACGTTTACTTATCTTCCGTTAGTACTTACGAAAAGTGTATTTAGTTACTGTCTTGGCTAAAAACCTTCTTTATTTTCTTAAGCTAGTGTTTGTGACTTCATCTCGTGGTCATACCTGCAAGTAGAAAGGAGAGGTAGGAATAAAGTTAATAAAGTCGGATTCAATTCCGCAGATTTAAAGAAAAAGGCAATTACAAGTTGCATACAAAGGCACCGCCCACGGAAACGAATTAAGGCAATCATAAATAAACGATCCAAGGTCTGGCTGAAATTTCCCGAAAATCAATGCCGAGCACGTTTCGCCAACTGCTGCCAGCTCCCAGCTCCGAGCTCCCAGCACCCAGCACCCAGCTCCAGATTCCAGATTGCGCTGCCCACACAGAGACACCCATCTGCATCTGGCTGGAAACCAGAGTTCGCAGGAGGAGAAGGTAAGTAAATTGTGCGGCAGGGGGGAAATCGGAGGGGCGATTGGGAGGCCGCGCTTGTTTATGGAGCACGAAAGGGTAACCCGTGTGGACGTCGCCATTATTCGGAGCAAACGCGAGCGATAAATTGCAGCAGATCTGTGACAAATAGCCTCGACCACGTGAAAGGCGAAAAGCGAAGGAAAATAGCCACATGGAGCGAGAGGAAAATCAAGGAAACTGCCACGCGGAATGCGACTGCAGTTGCCTTTGGTCGAGAACAACTGGAACCAGTTATCCGCTGGTAATCGCCGAACCCTTTACACTGATTATGATTGAGCCTCAATTTTTTAAAGATTATTCACTCCTTTATGTGTAGGGAACGAGCCAAAATCCAATCGTAATTTCAAAAATTCTATGAAATTGCACGTTTTGGAATCTGTAACTATTAAGGGGCACAACTAGTGTGACGGCCTAAAAAAATGGTGATTTTTGGGAATTTTTATAAAAAAAACTACTGGATCAATGCTTTTCAAATTTTCAGAATATATTTATACATGTTTGAAGAATATACAGTAAAATTTTTAAAGAAAAAAATTAAATATTTTTTAAGCTAGAGCCGATCTCCAACGGCGCTAAAAAAAAAAGTGCCCCAACTGCTGCAGTGATTCCGGCCTTCTCCGTGGATGAAATCAAAAAATGAAAAATTCTCGTTAAACTAGATGATATTGTCCATACAATGACCTACGATAAAAAAAAAATATCAAAAATTGACAAAATGGCGGCGTTTTAAAAAAAAAAATCGAATTTTACCCAAAATTTTGGTCGTTTTTGGCCTGCCAAAATTCGATTTTTGATCGGATCAAAAAACCGATAGGTCATTGTAGGGAGGACTATATTTAGAACATCTAAAAAAAATTTGATAGTGATCGGATCATTAGTTTTTGAGTTATCACTGCAGCAAATTCGGAAAATGCAGTTTCGAGAAAAACGCGTTTAAAGATAAAATGATCGTATGCACTGCTATACGAGCGGCTGCTCTTAAAATTGCTATAACTCAAAAACAATTTAAGATATCGATTTGAAATTTTAATATGTTATTTTTAAAGGTGTAATCTACCGAAATATGAAAGAGGAAAAAAAAAGATTTTTTTGAAATGTCACACTAGTTGTGCCCCTTAAACTAAATAAATATAAACATTTAAAAAAAAATTAAGAACTTTTAGTAGAACTGTATTCTTAAACTATCAAAAGTAATGCAATGAATCTAAGCAAGATTTTTTTCATCCTCTGAAAACAAAAAATAAATAACAAAAACATTAATATAAGTCTAGCAAATATTTTTAGTACGTAAAGCTGTCATCAGCTACTATTTTTCTTTTATTTCACAAGAAAACGAAAACCTCGTAGAAACACTATAGTTAAAAATGTATTTGTTAAATGATTTATTATAAACTAAAAACATTTCGAAACATAAAAAAAATAACAAGAAGCCGACGAAAGCAGAGAGGCGATTCTTCACGTCGCCGATACACAATTAAATTCTGTATATAAATAAGTTTTTTCGGTAAAAAAAAAAAGAGAAAAATTCCGATGTGCAATACTTTTCTAACCAAATCCTTATAATAAACACACTTAAAACAACCTAATACCGAACTTCAGGTATATTAAAATAATCTAATAATGCTAGATCTTGCATACCAAATAATACTATAGAATTATCGCATAGTTCCATGATGTAACCAATCTCAAAAAGACCGAATCATCTCCCAGAAATGGCCAAAGTACAAGGCGGTCTAAGCGGCCCAAATCTTCACATAATAAAATCAATTTGGAGTGCATTACTTTCGCATTGAAAAAGAGGAAAATTCTGGTGTAGAGTGGAAAGAGTTGAAACTAATTTCGCGTTTATTACAGTCCGCGAAATGTGCGCAAATTACATGGCTACGCGGGCATAGGCGCACTGATGGCGCAGAATATACGAGTAGAAGCGCGGACACGCTTTGCAGCTACAGATACAAAACGTACTGGCGAATGCAATTGTCCGTGGGGCGAATGGAGGGGCGGGGTGGAAGGGGGGAGGGGGGCGGTTTCTGCGGCTGGGAAGCGTGGCCAACAATACAACCGACGAGCCGGCGCGGAGAAGAATGCGACTGGGGCATTGAAGGCGACGCCACTCAAAAGGTGCCACGTAGAAAATTGCTCAAGAATAGAACTAATTTAAACAACTTGCAGATATGCGGACCAAGGTTGCTCCACCCCATTCCTAAGCCCCATCCCCCAACCCCCTCCCCCTTCCACCCTCCCCTCGAAAAGGCAATAAAAAATTATACAATAAAATGTGCACTCTCCCCACGTCGAAATATCAATATAGGAGATGCATGTCTGTCGGCGCTTTTCAATTGCATTGTGCTCATGTTCGACGCGGTAGATTGTATCTGATAGATACTTTTGTTTGCAGTCGCCGTATCTCTGCTTTTTCCCCGGTCGAGGGACCGAACTTTCAGCTAGATTTATCTGGGAAAACGTTGCTCTTACACAAGACAGAAAGAAAGCCGGAACTTCGCTTAGCGTACACACGTAGATAATTGCATTCTCCCGTTTGCTGAGAGCTAATATTGACAGTTTAGTTGGATTGAAAAGAAAAACAGATGCTCCAAGTTGGCCAGGTAAACGCTCCAAGGTTGGGATATCACTCCGCTGCTCTTATGTTAGCGCTGGCCATAAAAAATAGCAGCGATCAGTTTAATATATTTCCTGGAATCGAATTCAAGTCAAGGGAAACCGAAACACGAAAAATAAACTTTTAATCCGTTCACTTTTTGCCTGCTCGTTGCGGGTCTTTCAGACTGGTTATTCATGCATGCAAATCCTCGACTTTGTGCCTTAATTAAACAACAAGGAGCAATCGGAACTGCCACTTGGTGACACCCTCGACCGCAGCTGCCACGCCCAGTTCTCCCTCTTCCCGCCCCTCCGGCGTATGCAAACGAATTACCCACAAAACGGGAAAAGGAAAGTGAACTGCGTAACTTTTTATGCGGCAGCAGTGCCAGTAGAGTAACACCTGCCCTCCCCCTTCCATTCCCCTCCCATTCCCTTCCCATTCCCATTCCCTTCCCATTTCCCTCCCATTCCCTTCCCATTCCCCTCCCCCTTCTCCTTTAGTTTTTGCCACCTGCTGAGCTTTGTCCGAATGCGTTGACACTGTTATTTGTCTTTTTCCGCTTTCGTTATTTTTCGAGGAGCGAGGAGCGGGAAGCGAGGAGTGGGGCAGCTGGATTGTCATCCGACTGAGCGTCTCCGTTCAGGTTGTTAAGCTTGGGCGCCAACCTCACGTTGGGCGCCAACCTCAAGGTTAAGAGGCGAAAAGCCGCAGCACAAACAAAGCGGCTCCAAGTCGGCCGAGATAAGCCCAGAGCAGCAGAGCGGTGACGAAAGTACCCACATGTACGACTATGCCATATATACGTTTGCGCATATAGATCCCGGGTATCTGTTTACCACAAGACGACACTTGTTTGCTGAAACGAACGAGATTTAAAATTACCCAGAAAAGCGAATTCGCATAGCCGCTCTCCGGGGATTGGGTAGCGACCATTTTAATATTGGAATTAACATTTATATAGCAAGGAACAATCAGAGGAAATTAATATTGTATCAAGTACGTAGAAAGTTATTATGAGCAACTTCTTATAAGCTGGTATATCCTGCGGATGTTGCGTGAATTCAAATAACTTGGGCAGTGGAGAAAGGAACTTTAATAAAGTAATCAAACTCTTCCAGCTCCAACAGATACATATCGTAATAAATGTTGTACTTTAATGAAGAAATTAAACTCTTCTAGTTCCAATAGATACATATCGTAATAAATGTTGTAATTTTTCCCCATCCGCAGAGCTCCTCTCAACTTAAAAAGCCAATCGGATATCTGAGCCTTATTCCAGGCGGCTGAAACGAGCTGGCGGCTCATTTTATTTCTTGATTGCCATTACGTATCAGGGAACCCTTTCACAAACGCCCCACGAGGCGATCCCAGCGATCCCGTGACAGGCTGCCACGGACCATCCCAAGATTGTTCCATATTTTCCGCAATTACCTCGCGCTTTTCCGCTGCCGCTGCCGCTGCGTCTGTCGGCTGCCGCCTTCCATGATTTGTGGCCGGGCTCGCTTTTAATTATTGCGATTATTGTGGCAGCAATTTACAGTTTTCGAATGCTACTGCCACGGCAGCCAAAGAGGCAGCGGAGTGTTGCAGCGGCAATTTGGAGCGGAATGAATTGTCTGGAGAGCGGCAGCGAGAAATTGCAACTTGATAATTATAATGAGCCAATAATGACGTCGAGTGGCGATAGAGTTGGGTTATACTATACAGCGGACCCAGTGACATGACAACCTTGTTCTCTGCTATCCATTTAAACTGGATGCGGCTGAAATTCGATACGGGAAATGAAGTGTGGCTCGAAGCAAACTGAAGCTCCGCTCGCCGATCTATAACAATTAAACGAGGCCAGTTGTGGTAATACAAAACGCACTGGAAGCATGAACTTATTCGGTTTTCATTAGGATGATATCAAAGTGTCAAGAGTAACTAATGGCCAATAAACAATAATTGTGATGTCCCACTGAGTCTTATATACTATATATAATTACTTATGATAATATCCACCACCATTACTTTTTTATTTTTTTCGCATTCTTAGACTGC